GGATGTCGAGTCTCGAGACTTTTCGCCAGCGCTGTCGGAGGGTAGCAAGTTACCCCCGAGGGTCGGTCCGGATACCGCCCTCGGATTTTAATATATCCGGATTTCCCGCCGGCGCGTCGAGCGGATAATTTCCCTTTTTCCCACATTTCCCCCATCTCGCCGACCGAACTCCTTGCTTCGTCTGCGACAAGTCTGTCAAACACCAGCAGTACTGTATCGCTAATCTCCTAAAAGCTTGTTCATGCCTTTGACTCTGCCTCTGCCTTTTAAAACAAAAGAACGAAAACCTATCCACCCTCTCCGACTTGCTTCTGCTGAGATAACAAGCCCTCATCCCCTCTCGGCGCATAGCTGCCAGATGTCCGTCTTGCCCAGTTTCAAATCCACGTTTTCTTCCATTGCAGACGCTGACGTCGTCCGAGGCGCCGACGACTCCGCCCTGGTCCTTTTCCCGCAGCCCTCGACGGCTACAAATTCCGCTTCCTTTCGTCACCTTACTTTCCAGGATCATTTTCCGTCGCGTCCTCCAAACTCTTGGTCCCCAATCCAGACAGCCAAATCGAGCTCTACAAACCCCGTCCCCGATGCTCGTCAGTCAAACCTGACATCGACGACAACGGTGACAACTTCTACCGCTTTCCAATCCAGCCGCCCAAGGCAACCTGTTGCTCTGCTACCACTGGATGAGCTCACCACAGATTCATCTCCTATCGCATTTGGCTTTGATGCACGCCCCAAAAGGTTGCCCCAACCTGTTACATATACCTCGTCACAAATCCCACGGACCCTAGACCGTCTGCCTTTGGAACAACTCGCTAGTGGCCCCGACGAGTTCGGTTTTCGCACCGCTTCGTTCAAACGGGGCCATAGCTCTTCCGTCCATGCAGGCGCATACAAACGACCGCGTTCCCATTCTGTTGTCGCTGGTGACGCCTATGTCAAGTCTCAAACTACCTCTGATTCGCCGTCAAACCTGCGCTCCGCCACTCGTCCCTATCGGGACCACTCTGAGTCTACTGTGAAACGCAACACTGGTCACCGCGGCTTGTCCAAGTCACCTGGCCAGGTTAGTCCGTCTCCCGCGTCTTCGCGCAGGGACAGCGTTAAAGTCGCTGTCCTGCTGTCTGACCCATCTGAGGATCACCACAGGACTACAAAGTTATGTGCGCGCCCAAGTGTCGATGGCGTAACGCTTCCGAGGCCGACGTCGGGAGCGCAGGAGTTGTCAGAACTGCAGAATCAGCAACGCACCGGGGTAGTTTCTGTTGGTGGAAATGTAGGTATGATTGCAAGCGCGAGGGGAAATGGAAGCGTGAACATTAGCTACAGCGACCCACGGCAGATTGGATTACGTCATATGATGCAAAATCACTCGGCGTCACCCGCTGTGAGTTGCCTAGCGCCAGGTATTGGACTGCATAGTTCGAGCCTCGCGTTGCCGGCTTTGGGCAAAGGACCAAACCTTATATTCGATGCAACGCCGAGCATGTCACATCGAAGCGTGTACAGCAAAATGGTTTCGAACGGGTACAACACGCGATTGGCAGCAGACGACAACATCATCGAGGAATCGACGGTGCCAGCCGGGGTTGACGTCTTGAGCAGCCCTCGGGAACGCTCAGTAAACTCGGCACTGACAGGAACCGGGTTGATGCCAGAGGCGCTGGGACCATCCCTGACGATGTCCAGGGGGCCGACGGCATCGGATCTTTCAGTCCTGATGAGACGGACACAACAGGGACATGGAGGGCAGGACCAGAAATGTGGGGCGCGGGAAGACAGCCCGGGAAGGATTGGAGAACGGCGGAGACCGTCTCATGCGATAACGGAGGCAACAAATGGCAGTGACGGGGAACGAAGTAGAGAGAAGAATGAGAGCAGCAGAAATCGCAGACGTGCGACTTCTATTGCAAAGAAGAGACTGAATGGAAGGATTGTGAAGAGGGAGCACGAGGTGTTGCGGTGTAAGAGTGAAATGGGGAATCAAAATATAAGGGCCGAGATGCTGGGCACCGACGGCAAGGGAAGGATGGGGGATGGGCAAGGGGCGAGGGATAAGCTCTGGGGGGGACATGGTGTAAGCAGTGATAGAAAGACATGGCAAGCAAGCGGGGAGAGGGAAGGAGGGGAGCATTGGAGACACGGGCAGGGTGGGGACGTGAGCAAAACGGAGGAGAGAGTTGTTGGCAAGACGGTGAAAAGTAAGGAGAAACTGTGGGGTGGTGGTGCGTTACGGCAAGAAGAATCAAAGATTAGAGAGAGTGGGGCTGGAATGTACAACAAGGCTCAAGTTTGGGAGGATGGGGGCAAGAATGGGGTGGGAAGCATGGGGCGGGAGGGGTGCGGGGTGGCAACTCCGCAATGCGTTGGGGACGAATGGAGGAGAGCAGCGGGAGTGGGCGGGGAGGGCAAAGGGATCGAGGAAGGGGAGAATGTGCAATGCCCTCATTGCGAGCGTCGTCTTCGCAATGCTGTAACGTTGCAAAACCACGTGCGGGTGGTGCACGACCATAGCGGAAGTTTTCGGTGCTCGCAATGTTCTGCGACATTTATGTGGAGGAGTACTCTAGGGAACCACGTGCGACTGGTGCATGAGAAGCAGCGGCCGTATGACTGCCAGGAATGTAATAAGGCGTTTCGATGGAGCTCTCATCTACGGGAACATATCTGGGTGGTGCACAAGAATGAGAAGCCGTTCCGATGCGATACATGCGGGAAGAAGTTTGGGCGGAAGAACAATATGCAGAAGCATATGAGGAAACATTTGCAACAAGCGGGGCAGCAGTAGGGAGGTGTAGCGTGCGGGCTGCAGAGTGGTAGAAAGAGAGAGGAAGCAAGTGGGACGAGGCTTTTAGAGGTGCAGGGTTTTGTAACGTTATATGTACAGTGCAGTACAGTACACTAAATTATTGCAACCGCGGAACAAAGCGGTTGGTCAGATACAAGGCCTCTGTACAGCACTGCACGAATGAAGTACTGTAGGCGGTACAGTACTTTTGATTTGTACTACAAATCACAAATCAAATACAGTGCCTCCTACGATATACTGTAGTGCTATAGCGTGACATACTTCTAGCTATGGCACTACAGGGGGGGGGGGGGAGCTCTATATCGCACTTTTGAATAGCGCATTACCGGATATATCGCACTGTTTCGGGCTTGACACGAAATCAGCCACGTGTATGACATTACACACGTGTCGCTCTAGAAGCCCCTAGTAGAGGCCGTGCTGTACAAGCGACCCGCACAGTACCTCCAACTTTGGCTTATGGCGACGGCGGCTGAGGAGTTCTGCGGCAGAACTCCGAATCGGAGTACTCGTCGCCAGATTTTCCCGCCGTCGCACCTCCATGTCGTAACACTGAACCATGCCAGATGATACACGTGTGGGCTTATGATAACCTGTGCTAGAGGGTGAGCTATAGCACTATATAGAGGGAAGCACTACTAAAATAGGCACTATTGAGCGACCCCCCCCTGTACTGTACAATACTGTACACATTTTGTACAGTGCAGTAAGTTACCACCAAGCCGCGATGTATCACTAGATATGAGATAGCATTCGCAACAATAGTCATTGAATAAAGCATTTACATCATTATATATCTGTCGATATGAGATAGCATTCGCAACAATAGTCAATGAATAAAGCTTTCACATCATTTAATCATTGATATTTGAAATTTCATTTACATCACTGGACGGCAGCGCCACAGTACAGTACTAATGCCGACAATAGTGATGCAATAGGACCTCCCGTGGCCTCCCGCTTTACTGCGGGGCGACATTACAGTGATGTACGGGTACAGTACATAGTACTGTAGCATCTTCTGTAAGACTGCACCCGTCCATTTACACCATGCCGTTCTTGGTCAACTGCACTCCACTTTGGGCGTGGTGTAAATGGACGAGTGGGTCTTAACAGCGGATGACGCGAGTCGCATCTCTGATGTACGCATTGTTGCGTCTCGCATGACGTGCGAGACGTGCAACACGTGGCCCGCGATGAGCGGCATGGGACCAGAACGGCATGGGACCAAAGGCGAGGCTGCTCATGGAGGCACGAGGGGGGGCATGCCGCCTCTGGTGGGCCACTCGGACGCCTTCTACTTGCCCAGCAACGACACACGTTGAACACGTGCCACGCCTCAAATATCCCACCCACCGCCATCCAGCGCCGGACTGTCCCCGGTACCTATCATACTCCCCCATCATAGCTTCCGCCTCGCCCCGATTCGCAGACACTCAGCCTCCCTGAGCCCCGCAACCCTCGTTCCCCCAAAAAACCAGCCGTTGCTGCTTGCAGTGCTCTCCTGCTCAGCACCCCACTAGGAGCACCCCTTCTTGTGCCCCCTCCTCCACGGCCTCCCCCTCGACAAAACAGTCATAGAGGCTTCGTGAGACTGGAGTCTTGAAGCATTCAAGCGTCACCCTAAAAAGGCTGCACTCCAGAATACATTTTGCTTGCTTTGCATCATTCTCACCTCCAATCAATCGTTTCGGGAATAGGCCAGGCTGGTCGCATTAGAAGAAATCCCTCCGTGTGTAATCATGGCTTCCCAGAAGACAGCGTTTGA